CCTGGAGACACTTCCAAATGCTTTCAGGCAACAAGTACATGCCATGTCTTGGCGAGGCGTAGAGGCCCTCAGCCACATCAGGCTTACTTTCTCACCATATGTTTCACGTTTCCAGGGTTTTCTAAACGCCTTTTGCATTTTACTTTGTCTTAAAGCAGTCCCTCAGCATCCAGAATGCTGGCATTCTCGGCAAGAGAAGAGGCTCCCCTAGAAAGAAGGCGCATCTGGGCCCTCTGACCTTGGAAAGGAGCCTGGGGGTGTAGTGGTTACAAGTGGGTCTGTGACCTGCAAGGCCAGTCGTGTAAAAACCACCAGCCGCTCGGGCTTTTTCCTCCTGTAAGAGTCACTGTCTCGGAAACCCCCGGCGCGGTCCCACCCTGTCCTGTAGGGTCGTGGTGAGTTGGCATCAACCAGGTGGTAGTGAGCCGAGTGTCAGAGGGTCTCCGGTATTGTGTCAGGTAGACGGGAGCCTTGGTGTTAGCCGATCTTTGGAGTCTCAATCCCAGTGGAGGTGAATACTGCGTGTGTGTGCATGCATGTATATGGGCGCCCATGAGAACGGATGTGATTGACTTCTGGCTCTCAGGCACCGAACAGAATCCATCGCTTGGATTTGTTGTGGCAAACGGCGGGTTTTAAAACTCGGTCAGCGCCACTCAGGGAGTGTGTTCCGGAGGCCCCGGCCATTTGGGGCCTGTGTGTGACTGGCCGACCGAGACGAGGCCATCCACCAAGAGCACGCATCTAAAACGCTGGCCGCCTTTGGCAGGGCCGCCCATCATGGCCAAGCAGGCCCAGGGCACTTTACAGAGTGTCGGTGACAGCACTGAAGTGGAAAACAACATCCGCAGCCAAAACGGGCTTATTCCCGGGTGTTCCAGAGCTGTATACGGACGGTCAGGGTGAGTTAGAAATGATGAGAGGGCACAGAATTTGTGTGTGTGTATGTGTGTGTGTGTGTGTGTGTGTGTGTGTGTGTGTGTGTGTTTTAAGAGCCTGGATGGCAACCCACGCACGGTGACCCTCCAGGACAGGGCAGAAGTGCCCAGAGGGCAGTCACCTTTACCTGTCACAGCTCTCTCCTGATGAGTGGCCGGTGGGTTTGCTGCACCCTTGCACCAGCAGGGCTCCCGCTCTGGAGGTGGTGCCTCTGCATGGGGCGGGCGCCCTGTGTAAGCCTCGCAGCAGGATGATGGGGTCCCGGAGGAGCAGGAAGGCCAATCAAGAGTTTCCCACCATGGGGAGGATCAACACAGAGGCTGTCCTCTGCCGCGATCTCGGGCTGTCTGCCCCTGCCGATTACCAGCTCTCTGACACGCTCCCAGATGTGACGGCAGGGTCGCCACAGACGTGCATCCTCCTGCAGCATGCCAGCGGGGGGCTCTGCAGAGACAGCCCACTCTGCGCCTCCTCCCAGCCCGACCCTCAGCAGAAGCCAGTCGGACCGCCGCTGGGCCAGATGAAGGGCGTGAACCATGTGCTCTGCGGCTGCCAGCCTCTGGCTAAAGGCTTCAAATGTGAGGTAGTTGGATAGTCTGGGACTGTGCCCATATTTCATCCATCCCAAGAGATACTTTTTTTCTTAGTATTACTTTTAAACTAAGATTACCCGAAGAAGCCCAGGCGGGTCAATAGTTGAGTGCTTGGCTGCTAATGGAAGGTGGGGGTTTGGCTCCACCAGCTGCACTGCTGAAGAAAGACGTGGTCTCTGAGTCTGGAAGGATTTCCAGCCCAGGGAACCTCTGGGCAGTTCGGCTCTGCCCGATGTGGTCGCCGTGAGCCAGAGTCGACCGAGCACAGTGGGTTTGTTTCCATTGAAGGCTACCCAGACAGGCTCTTTCGAAGTTGTTGGCCTTCTGTTTTGAGTCTATCGCTCTCTCTCTCCTTAGGAAAATCAATTTTTTATTGTGGTAAAGATCTATGTAACAAAAGGTTTGCTATTTCAACATGTGTTTGAACATGTAAACTCCAGTGACATTAATTCACGTTGGTTGTGCTGTTTAATTGTGACCACGGTCTGTTTTTAATCCCCCTGTGTGCCCACCCCTCCCCCCGCCCCACCTGCCGCCATCATCATCAATAGAGGCATCACACCCTGCCCACTGCCCTTGAGTCGATCGATCAGATTCACAGCAACACAACGGCCTAGCATAAGGAGAACGGCCCTTCGGGGTTTCTGAGACTTTTAGATCTTGACCAGGGCAGACAGCCTCATCTTCCTCCAGTGAATACCAGCTTCCCGAACAGTCCCTGAACCCGAGGCACCTCCCCTTTCCCATTTTAACATATCTGAAATCAGTTGTGTCTTGCAAGTGAAAGCCTCACTTCACAGATGAATTAGCAGCATCGGTGGTGGACCTTCCTTGGCATCTCTCACAACAACAACAACAACAACAACAACAACAAAAGCCAACTCACTGCCATCGAGTCCCTTCCGACTCATAGCGACCATCCAGGACAGGGTCAAACTGCCCCTGTGGGTTTCCAGCACTGCAACTTTTACAGGAGTACAAAGTCTCGTCTTTCTCCTGTGAGGCGGCTGGTGGTTTCAAACAGCTGACCCTGTGGTTCACAGTGCAATGCTAAGTAGCACGCTCCTTCTCTGGCCCCACCCTTTCTTTCCCTGCAACTATTTACATCTGCATTTTGAGGAGCAGCCCTCTAGTCTGCGTGCAGGAGAGAGGGGAGGGGCCTCGTCTGACAGGACCAGAGCTCCCAGGGTGGGAAAAGAAACTCCATGGAGTGGACTCCTGACATGGAGCTGGTCCCAGCGTGGCTGCATTCACTCTGTGGCTTACCTGAGACCCACAGCCAGAAACAGAGAGTGCTGCGAATGACCTGGAAGCCTGGAGGACATCTGAGTCACAGAGGCAGGGCAACAGCCACCTGCCAGCTCTGACTCACGATGGCCCATGCGTATCAGAGTCTGTGCTCCATCAGGTTTTCCGAGGCTTGTTTTGGGAAGAAGATCGCCAGGACTCTCTTCTGAGGTGCCCTGGGTGAACCTGAACCCCCAGCCTTCTCGTGAGCAGGCACGTGTGCTAATGGTGCACACATCCCAGGGCCCCAAGGAGTGGACCAGTGTCAAACCAAAGTCGCTGTCACCAGCTGGTCCAATTCCCAGTGACTCTACAGGACAGAGTAGAACGGCCTCGGTGTGTTTCCCAGGCAGTAACTCTTCATGGGAGCAGAGCCTCATCTTTCGCCTACAGAGTGGCTGGTGGTTTTGAACTGCTGAGCCTGTGGTTAGCAGCAGGATGGATCACTCACGATACCACCAGGGCGCCATCAGGGCCAGGCTCATGCTCCTGTTCACTGCCATCGAGTGGGTTCTGGCTCCTATCTCGATCCTATAGGACAGGGTAAAACTGCCCCTGTGGGTTTCCCAGACTGTAACTCTTTACAGGAGGAGAAAGGCTCGTCTTTCTCCCGCAGAGTGGCTGGTGGTTTTGAACTGCTGCCTTTGACATTTGCAGCCCAACTCGTGAACACTATGCCATCAGGGCTCCATAAGGGACAGACAGAAGTGTGACTATCAGATCTTCAGGTCTCTGTGGATGATAGAACCCAGCCCAGCTTTTTATTGGCGGGAGAATGACAAAGTGCACATCTATTAATGCTGTTCTTGTTCAGGCTGGAACATGACCAAATTGTGCTTGGCATCCAGAGGCTGTTTCTAACTCTGGTTTGGAGGTCTAAAACCTGGGGGGTGCTCTCAGGCGAGTCAGCCAAGCTCTGGGTGTCCTTCTGCGTCTTCATTGGAAGAGCGAGAAGGGTGGCAGTACCCCCCTTCTTCCACCAGCTTCAGAGGACCCGAGTCCTCACACACACAGGGTACGGCCAGGCAGATAGCAGCGTACCTTTAATGCTGACGGGTGCACGGCCTCAGTTGGGGGGTCTTCCAAAGCCAGCTCCTGCCTCCTTTCCACCCGGACATCGGCATAACTGAAACCAAGAGACCACAGCTGCAGGTGGCTCACGCCAGGACACCACCACCCAAACACACCGGTGCAACCCTGACTCAGCTTCACACCCGATTCCAGATCACGGCACCAAAAACACTGGGGCAGCCCCTTGGCTGAAAGAGTGGACCATCTCGATTTCTCATGTCATTCCCCTTCCCTTCTGACTGATCCCCTGCCCCCATCCAAACCTCTAAACACAATTGTCTGTAAAAAACGTATTCTCAGCTGTAGGGTAAGCCTCTGCCCTCACATAATTAGAAGCCTTTCATAAACCTGTGTGTTTACAAATTGTGTGTCAGTCCACTGAAGGGACCTGAGGCCTCCTACGTGCAGACAGCCGTGTGAGTGGGCTGGGAGGGCCGTGAGGGTCCTCAGCCCTCCGGGACTCTGGTTACCTGTTTATCTGTTCCCCACCCCATTTCCGCAGAAGGGTGGCTGCCCTAGGATTTGGGAGGTGCAGCATGGAAAGGAAAAGCAGGGCCCAGGGTGGACTCTGAAGGTCCAGGTGTTGATAAGATCCAGCCTTCCTGTGGGGGCTGAGGATGGACGATGACGGCCTTGGAGTATGTGTGCAATGTGGACTACAAACTGGGAGAGTCCCCTCTCCCCTCTCTCCCTGCTTACTGACTCACCGTGTGTGTTGGTGGTGTTAACGGCCATTAAGTTGCGCACTTGACGCATGACATCTGCACGCCCCACAGAATGGGTTCAGAGCTTTCATGAATTTTCACCAGACCGCTTTTCCTAGTCTGTCTCTGTCCCGAGAGCTCTGCTGAAACCTGTTCGGCGTCAGAGCTTCCACGGGCAGGCTGGCTGGGGGAGGTACCCCGATGGCATCAGCCCGGGGTCTCCAGCATGAAGGGGGGATTCGACTGCTGGACAGCCACTTCACTGTGTACAAAATATCAAGGTCGAAGGTACGGCCCTGCTAACTGCTCGTTCTTGCTTATCCGTGCTGTGTAGTGAGAGATGGCGTCAATTCTGACTCACAGTGGTCCTGCCTGTCTTCTATTTGAGCCTAATGTCCAAGCGTTTGGTTTGGGGTGGTCGACAGTGGGAGTCCTAACTCCATTTTGAATCTTGACATAACTTCAGCCTCCACCGAGTTCATTCCTAAGCCAGCCAGGCCCCGAGGCGGAGTGTGTTTGCAGGAACTTTACTGACTCTCCTGGTGTGGTAGTCACATAACCTGGTGTCAGTGTGGGACTGGAGTGGACTGGAGAGAGTGAAGGGGTGGAGTCTAGACTGTCAATTGGGTCATCACCAATGAGACCTCTGTGTGGGCGTGGCCTTCTCCTGAGGATTCTGGGAACCCAGAGATTTCCTCCTTGAAAGTGGGAGACACTCTCCCTCTGCTCACTCACTACCTGGGAGACATTGCAGCTGACAAGACACATGGAATTATGCGAGTACCCTGAGCTGGAGAAGCCACGTGGAGACCCCTGCCAGCGCTGAGATGTTTCCAATGCCACTGGATCCAAAGACTTTCTACCGACTGGCCTGTAATCATCCTGCACTCTGTCACTGCATATGTTTTGTGAGTCTGACGAGGACTTTTTATATTGATATTGGACATATGGGCTAATATCTGACTTATGGACTTGATCTGGACTGGGCTGACCCATTTTCTCAATATTCAACTGCTCTTTTATATAAAATTTCCTCTTCTACACATATGCATGTTTATGAATTTGTTTCTCTAGTCTACCTGGACTAACACACCTGGTCAGCCTGAAGGAGCACTGGTTGTGGCACTGTGGGCCAGGCATTGAACTACTGTCTGCAAAGCCGATGGTTCAAGCTCACCAACTGGTTCCTGGGGGAAAGATGAGGCTGTCTGCTATAAAGATTTCTAGTCTTGGAAGATGAGGAGTTCATGTTCTGTAATTAGCCATGTAATTAGCTATGAATCCTTCAGCCTCGAACAACACATCATCTTCCTCATCCAGATGATTGGGTTTTCACTTGTCTTTGTCATGTGTAAGACTTAATAAAACACACTTGAATTTGAGGTCTACTTTCCCCTCAAAAAACTAAACTTACTGCCATTGAGTTGGTTCCTACCCCACCCCATCCTGCCCCAGACACTCTCCACCACTTAACACTGACTCATGTCTTCAAACGAGCCCTGATGGTGCAGATGAAAAATTGGGCTTTTAACCATGAGGTCAGTGGTTCGAACCCACTAGCTGCTCCAAGGGAGAAAGAGGAGGCTGGCTGCTCTTGTAGAGATTTAGTCTTGGATGCCCTAGGGAGTAGGTAGTTCTCCTCTAATCGGGTCACTGTCTGTCAGAAGAGGAGCCTTGGTAGCCTAGTGGTTACAAGTTGGGCTGCTAACCTTAAGGTCAGCCGTTTGAAACCACCACCAGCCACTCCTCTGGAGAAAGAAGAGGCTTCTACCCTCATAAAGTTAGCCTCAGAAACCCACTGGGCAGTTCTGCCCTGTCCCACAGGGTTGCATCCTCTCAGAGGCAGTGAGTTGTCATGTTGTTATCGGCCAGAATCAGCCAGTAGCAACCACGGCAGGGGGGGATGCGGTGCAGAGAAAACCCACAGACCAGCATCGGCCTCTGTTACCTCCGAGAGCTGGGACCGGACTGGGGTGGGCATGTGAAAGGCTGGGATGCTGTCTCCACAGGGTCTCAGTTCACACACCCTGGCCAGGGGCTCCCCGATGTCCCCCGGAACCCACCAAGAGGTCCCTTCTGCTGACAGCCTGACTGTGTTGTCAACACTGCTCCCCCTCCGCCTCGAAGCATTAAAAATAAAGGGGAGTATGCGTTTGAGTTACTTAGAGGCAGACACTTAATTATCTTCTCACAAACGGTGACAAGCAAAAGCTGGAGGGTAGCTCAGGAGGGGACCTATGGAAGCAGGTCAGTGAGCAGTAACTCGCCAAGTGGTATATATCCTGGTGGCCGGGAGAGTTCTAGAGGCTTCAAAGGGGCCTCTTCAACAGCTCTGAGGAGTTCTCAGTCCCGGGAGAACAGCCCTGAGCGTGCCCGACAGGAAGCTGTTAGCTGGATAGGACAGTCTGAGCCACACTGAAGAAGTCCAGCTTGGGGTAGGGGGTGGGGCAGGGGGCAAAGGCAGATCTATGGAAAACGGTGGCTTCGGCAATTCCTTTTAACTTGCTGATTGATGTTTCCCAGCCTGCTCTGGAAGGAGTCCTGGTGGCTTAGTGGTCCTGCTTTGGGCTGCGATCCACAAGTGGTCCTGCTTTGGTCTGCAGTTCAAAACTACCAGCCCCTCCGAGGGAGAAAGACAGGGTGCTTGACTCCAGTACTCGGAAACTCAGTGGCTGGCCCACCAGGTGCTAGAGGCCCACTAGGAGGGAAGTGAATCGGGTTTTTGGAGCCGGCTTTGGGCAGCTGTGACGGAGACTAGAAAGCGATCACTGGTGCCCCTCCTGGATTGGCACCCAGGGCTCCTGCGGACCTGCCTGTGTGCATGGGCCGTACCCCTTGCCTGGTGTGGGGCCACACCCTGACCCTTGGAAACTGTGTTGCCGCCCCCCCGGCCCACGTGCCGCCGCCAGCCCGGTACCTGACCACGGAGTGCGTGCACACGATGAACTCTGGCTTGGAGTTCCACTGGTGGTAGGTGATGTAGTAGTGGGTCTGCAGCCATATCCACTGCTGACCTTTGGTCAGAAACCGGTAGCAGCACGACTTCCCTTTGCCAAACTGCATCACTGCGCAGAGAAAACAGATGTAGCCGCATCAAGCATGCGTCCAGGGGGAAATGGCCCTGGCCAAAAGTCACTACTAGAACGCAGTCTGAGTTGCTGCGGCTCACCTGCCCCCACCCCCAGGCGCACCCACCCTTTAAGGGTGCGTGCGTGTCACTGCAGTGGCTCCTGCTGGCTCTGAAGTGACGGAGGAATGACCCACAGACACACCTGCCCTGATGGCCAAGAAACTTGCACAAGATCCTCACAGGAAGGAGCCCAGAATTTAATTAGAAAAAAAGCGCTCCACATTTTCCCGGGGGAGCGGTGGGGGGTGGGATTCTCTTCCTGCTGCTGCAGGTGGAACTGCCGTCGGAGCTGCTGGAAGCCAGGAGTCGAGCCCAGAAAAGAGCATCCAGACACCGGAAAGATTGGACCCAGAATAGAGCTGGCAGCCAGCAGCCTTTGGACTCATTCTGCGGCTGTCAGTCAGCCATTCAGAAATAGAGAGGCTGCTACGGATGCCTTCTGGGCTCCCCCACCCCCATGCAGGGGTCGAGGAGTCCTGGCAATTATGTCACTTTCTCAGGGGATGTCCAGAACAGAATGGGCCCTGCCAACTTATTATTGCCTGGGCAGGACAGGTGGATGGACCTTGGGGCCAGGAAAGTAGGAAAGGAATTGGGTTTTCTTATAGTAAAGGGGGCCTGGTATGGCAACAGTTCAGCGGTCTGCTGTTCAGGACAAGGTCAGTGGTTCAAACCACCCAGTGGCTGGGGGCGAGGAAGAGGGTGGGATGGGGGTCGGAGAGAAGGATCTGCTCATGAACTCCCTTAAAGACCCCAGCCTCGGCGGCAGCTCTCCTCTGTCCCAACGGCAGCCTCGGGGAACTGCCATCTTCATGATGCCTGGCCTCTCTTCATGCAGGCATCCACAGTCAGGAGAAATCAGAGCTGCAGCACTCAGATAAGGTAAGGAGCTGCAGACAGGAGGAGGAGGCACCTCGAGAGGGGAGAGGACCCTCAAGAGCTCAGCAGGGTGGCAGCCCCGGCTGCACAGAGCAAGCAAGTCCAGCCTTGACCATGGAGCCAACACAGCCAACCCAACCTGTGTCCTTCAGCTGCTGCAGACGGCCGAAGCAGCTGCCAGGTGGAGCCAACTCATGCACGAGAGTAGAACGGGGCTTCCTAGGCTGGCAATGGTGGCGCTTTCAGAAGGCCACCAGGCTTCTCTCCCACGGGACCACTAAGAGATAGGGCTGCTCAACTTTAGTTGTTCCCACAAATCACCTGGGGATCTTGGCGGAGTGACTATTCTGTCTCAGGAGGGGTGGGGCTGGGGGCCAGAAGGTAGTCTCAAGGGTGGGGATTCTCCATGTTTAACAAATGCCCATGACTCCAGGGCAGCGGGCCCCGGGGCCACTGTCTGAGCACATGGGGTCCAACGTTCAAAGATTGGCCTCAAATTCTAATAGTGGATGTTGATGGCAACTCAAGCCTTCAGTAAGAACAACAGTGTAGGCAAGACAGCTATCAACACACA